AACAACACAAAATCAACAATAGTTATCATAATGCCTCTTGTTGTCTTCAAACTAGCTGCAGATACCTTCAGATATAGTAAAGATCAAACAGAACATAGCAGAATAGAACTAATAAAACAAAATAATGAATGCAATAAAAGACTTCAAAACAAGTCAATAGTAAATCCAAAATGGCTACCATAATATGTCTTGCTATCTTTGAAATAGGTGCTCATGCTGTTGGATATAAAAAAATCAGTCAAAACAAAACAGAATAAAACCTGATCCAACAAAACAATGAAAATGATACAAGACCTCAAACCAAATAATAGGGAATTAACAAGAAGATCCCCCCCTAGATGTCACACTGTGTACCATTATCCTCTGAACAGATGATCAGACCACTAGCCCTAGATCTGCAAGGTCAGTGAAACATCAAAACACTGTAAGCTCTAATTGCATTTCATCTCATAGCTATAATCGCAGCCTGTGTTTCTCCAGATCAGCTGGTTGCTTACAGAGGGGAAGGACGGGTGTGTTGGCTCTTCTTGTTTGCCAGTCCACACACCAGGAGGGGCTGGGGTCTGGCTTTCCCTTGGCCAGGGGTGGCCCACGCATGGTGCTGGTTTTCAGGGAGGGCTTGCTTCTTGGTGAATTCTTGTTCTCTCCCCCTGCAGTCTACAAATGGTGCCCCTTCACCAAATCTTGAACTTCATAGGAAGAAAATTTTTAAATGTCTTCAGAGATGAAATATCTTGGAGTCACTGAGCTAAAAAGACATAGCACAAGCCATGAACAGTCAAGCTTAAGAAAACATGACCGAGGGTCTAGAGAAAAGGGATACTGTGCATGAGGCACTTGGATGCCTGCTCTACCTATGCACAGGAGCACAGTCCTGCCCAAAGCCCTGCAGAGTGGGCATGACCACATCTACCACACATGTTCCTATACCTGGTCAGAGGTGACTGGATCCACTAGACCCATTCATTCATAAGATCTTGGGTATCTTGTAACCTCTGTTGCTAGTTCAAAACAAAAAGAAAGATTCTCTTGGAAATCTAGAGCTATGAAACAGAGACAGAGGCTATTTTGAGCAGACATTCCAAAGCCAAGTGAAAATTTGCCTTTTGATAAAAGATACCAAGGTGAAGGCAGTGGGTCACAGAGTGGTCTGAAGTTACTGCAGGAATAGGACCCGCATTGATGGCATGGCAGTCTATCCATAAACAGGGACACAGAGCAAGAAACACCTCATGAGGCATGCGATTGTACTGGTGGTCTTGCTTCCCTACAGACTCAGCTGAACCACGTAGACACTATCTCTGTGTTTTCTGGTATTTCCAGTATATTCTTGCAACAAATCCTGCTTTGCTTAAACTAGCATAAGAAAGTCTCTCTTTTTAACACAAAATGAGCCTGCTTAGATTAGCTCATCCATACCTTTAAGGAATCTGCTTAAAATCATATCAGAGAGCCATGATTTGTAGAAGAGAAAAATCATAAGACACAAACTGATCTGAAATCTTCATAAATCTATAAAGATATTTATTTCTTTCTTTGAGTAGTAGAAATCCCATAAGGGAAATAACAGTTGAATCTCCTTGCAAATGTCACCTGGGGATGAGAAAAGGGTCCACGGGAATGTGACTCTAGATGTTCCTTACAGTGATACCAAGCCAAAGGTGAATGAACACTGTTCTGTTGACCAGATTACTTTGCTTTCTCTTCTCTACCCCGCCATAGGTTGAAGCATGGCCTATTCTGTATCTCTCCCCGAATCCACATCCTCATCACAGTCTCGTGAGCAGCATATGCTTTCCACCTTGACCATGGGTTGGCCAGGCAGCTTGCATGTGACTCCCGATGACACAGGGGGAAATGACAACATGTAAACTCTAAAGTCCAGACCTTCAGGAGTCCTGCACAATCTATATCAGTGTGGCCATGAGAGGAGAATGGTCTTCCCAAACTGCTGATTTCAACAGAGTGAGAGACCTAAACCTAAACCAAACCTTAGACCAGAGCCAAAACTAGTGGAGCCAATGAAAAATCAGCAGAACTGGCTCGCTACAGGCACAGGAAAAATAAATGTTATGCCACTGAAATGTGCTGTCTGCTACATAGTGCTTCTATGGATATGGCTAGATGATAAGGTTCCTTTAAAAGAGTAAATAGAATGATCTTGTAGGGGAAGTTCAGTGAAGGAGCCTCCTTGCTGGGGCCACAGCAGCTCAGTGAGTCTAAGGGATGCTTAGCAGAATGGCAGCAGAAACACCCTTAAGGGACTACAACTTTAGGGCAGAGGAGGAAAGCTTAGGGGTCCAGTTTCTTTTCCCCCCAAGGAGAGATTTTTCCTGCCCAACTAAGCAGGTTTACTTGTAATTTACTAGTAAAATTGGATAGATTTTGCAAGTACCTTAGCCATATGAAGTTGGTTCTCTCAGTTTCTCAGCTGCCCATCAAATTTCATCAGCTCCTTCTTCCATAGTGATGTAAACAGAACTGGATACATGACTTTCAACCTCTCTAGTTAGTTACCTGTAACCAATGGGCTGATTTTTACCCAAAGCAATATGAAGAGAAGAGATTAGTGCTATAGTTGTGCTGGTATAGCGGGAAAGGGGGCATGCCTCCTCTGCTTTCCCCTTCCTGCCAGTTGTAACGCAGGCTGTGCAGACAGGTACAGTGCTCTAGGACATGCTCATTGCATGTCTTCCAACAGGTTAGATACTTGTTACACAGGCACAGTGAGATTAAGATTTTTCAGAACACACACACACACACACACACACACACACACACACACAGCAGCAGCAGCAGCAGCATTGGTTTTTTCCAACAGCAAGACATTCTAGGAGGAAAGAGTTCCTGAGTCTACATTTTCATGCAAGCTTCTAAACTCCCTGCAGGCCAGCCAGCCCTTTGTGTAGCATTATATTAAGGAATGGTAGAAGCATAAGATGCTATGGATCCAGGTTCGTGAATATCCACATGGAATTGGCTGCCTAGCAACCTGGAAGGCCTGCCCTGGACACAAAAGAGAAACAAACTTTTTTTTTGGATGGGTCATTGCATTGTGAGATCTTTCCCATAGCAATTTAGCTTTCCCCTAAGACAGGGTATTAATCATCTCTATCTGGCAGACACTCGCGACAATTTTTAAATGCACATGAGAAGACATTCAATAAAGACCTATTGGGGCTTTTACCACATTTAGTGGTAATAAGCCACTGACTTTTCTGGCTATAGGACTAGACTCATCTCCTATACTTATAGGGCAATGTATCCATTCATTCACAACTATTGAATCCCAGTTCTGTGAATAGGCCTGGACCAGGCACTGGATGCAGTGCTGAATGAGATTGTCACTGCAGCTTTTATCAGTACCAAAGCAGCAAGCATGGATCAGTCCTAATTTAAGGGAAGAAAACTTGTGGGCTGGGGTATTTAGAGCAAAAGCTGGGATTCAGTATTTTCTGGTTTGCAAACACACACACACACACACACACACACACACACACAGGCTGCCTACATTAACATAAAAGTTATGCTTTCTGTACAACTATTCTTACTTTTGAATGTCTTTACTGTGGTTTCTCCTCCATTCCATAGGAGGAAAAATATCATTTAAAAGATTAGAAAATAACCTAGATTAAAGGAAAAAGACATGTTTCAATAACATAACCTGGAGAGAAAGGCCTTAATTTTTCTCTAAAGACCTGTGGTTGTAGAAGGTATTAGACCTGAGCATTTCTTAATCATTCATTCATTAAATACTTGTAGAAACTCACTATCATCTAGGTTCTTTGCAAAGAGGGGAGCAAAACCACATTCCCATGCAAAAGCAGGCTCACTGAGTGGGAGTGGAAGCCTGTGGGTGATCAGTTACATGACAGGCAGCGTCTGCTCACAGATGGGGCCTGAGGATAGAATGCAGATGCTGAGAGTCCAGGAGAGATGGAGCCCAGGCCGCTTGTAGACTCTTCACTTTGATTTGCAGTTAGATCGCTCCCTTGGCTACTAACCATGATTTTAAGCGTTTTCTTCTTAGAGTCAGAAACATGCATGAAAATACTCTTCCAAGCCCAAGAATTCTGTCATACATTGTGTTGTGTGTGACCACCTAAGACAGGCACAGATGTACTGAATCACTGAATGCTTAGGCAAAAGCCTACATTTTCCTATCAGTATCAACACCGTGTTGGCAGGAAACACCCAGGACTCACCAGGGAGGACATTTACTAGCCCTGGGTGCGGAACAGACTTCCCCTGCCACAAACACAACCACAGGGCCAGCTCTGGCAGCCAAAAAGTGGGTGACAGCCTCCTACCACTTTCTATTTATTGTTGCATCTCTTAGCACCCATGGCATTTAGAACCTCGAGAGTTGGGCTGATAACCCAGCTTCAGATCTGAGAACCTGAGGGACAGAGAGAACTGCTCAGCCATTTCAGAACTGGAAAGCTGTGCATTCAGCCAGTTGGACAGTGAGAGCTTTCAGGTAGGTGTAGCCTAGGGAAAGGCAGAGAAGCCGTTTCCTCTTCTATTGCATAGAAGCCTCGTGCTTGTTGAAGGGACCATGTGTTTACCCTTAGCTCTGACCACATCCTTCTTGCCTTATGAGTGTGTGTGTGTGGGGGGGGGGGCGGTTAGAAAGCCATGGTGGGATGGGGCAGCTGCGTGGGGTACCGCGTAGAAGTCTGCAAGAGGGAGACAAGCCCCGAAGTCTACAGGGATAGCGAGGAAGTGGTGCCTGGTGGGAGATGTAGGGAGGATCACAGCTGCCAGTAATCAGGGTTCCCAGGCCCTCTAGCAAAACCCAGCCCCAAAGGTCCATCCTTGGCTCGCACTTCCTTTACACACTGAGCTCAGCCCCCAGGTCGCTGCTCCCTGTTGAGTTCCAACATGGAAGGCGCCCCGGTGAGGCTGGAAGGAAGTAGTTCACTAAATTCAGCTGGAACCAAGGCGTCGAGGATGGGAGGAATTAATCTGATGCGTAGAAGGAGAACGGGACCAGGAGGGAAAGGGAGCGCGGCCACTGTGCATCCAGCCTACGGTCACTCGCAGGATGATGGATGATTTCCCGGGCCGCGGGTCCAGCGCCCCAGCTCTGCGCGGAGACGTCAGAGCGCTCGGGTCCGCGTTGGAAGAGCCCCCAGCCCCTCCCCGCGCGGGGCGTCTATATAAAGTCGGGGCCCTAGTGGAGGCTGCAGCGGCGGCGGATGCGGAGGGAGTGGCGGCGCTGCTCCGAGGTCAGGTCCTCCCGTCGCTGCTCCGCGGGGAGAGCGCGCTCGCCCCCCAGTCTCGCCACGGCGCTCCGAGGGCTTCCCGCCGGGATCATGCGCGGCCCCGAGCTCCGGCTCGTCCTGCTGGCGCTGGTCCTCTGCCAGGCGCCCCTGGGTCCAGCCGCACCTGTGTCGGTGGGCGGAGGTACAGTGCTGGCCAAGATGTACCCTCGTGGCAACCACTGGGCTGTGGGTGAGTGTCCTGGCGGGAGTGTCGTGCGCTCTGGCTCTCTGAGACAGTCCGAGGGGACCTGGGTTTGGGTTTGCTCCGAAACACCTGCGGCAGTCCCCCAAAACTCCACCCCACCCTTCCTATTCCTGAGAGCCCGTGGGTCTGGTCCCTTGATCCTTTCTCGTCGCTTCAGTCGGTGCGCACCCCGTTTTCCCCGGGTACCCCTGTCAGCGCGCAGCTCAAAGCCAAGCTTGGATGCAGATTGCCCTGCTACCTGTTTGTCCAGCTAATCTCTACCCGGTCTGGCATGTTTCTTTCCTTAGGCAACTTTTGGGAGCGAAGTCCCCGGACTGTATCTCAGAGCCCTGGTCCAGCTGGCCCATTTTAACGCCTCTCGCCAAGGGCTGGAATCTGGGGCAGAGCGCGCCTGGCAGAGCCACAGGTGTGAGGATCCGGGTGCCGTGCTCCCATCCTGGGTTTCAAAGCCGTCAGCTACCTGTGCCTGAATCTTGCCTGTGTTTCCTCAGTTCCCTTCCCCCTTGCAGGGAAATTCTTTCTTTGTCCATCCTTCTGTCCACCACTCCCTCTTTCCAGCGTGCACGCCCGGCGCTTTCCGAATCGCACCTGCTCTGCACCTCGTCCCGACCTCTCTGTTTCCTGCACCCCCAGCCCCCCCAGCTCGTTCTACACATCTTTAGATCCGCGGCTTCCCACTGTTCCCTGGCTCTTTTCTCCTTTCCTCTGCCAACAAGTCCTGCTGTTCAGGCACAGCGGCTCAGAGGTTCCTATGTGGGGCCAGGGAATCCGGGTGGTGAGGACTCCGGGGTGGGGGTCGAGGCTATCTGCCAGATCTGAGGTCTGTGGGAGCGAGGCACCTAGTGCGGTCCTGCACCTGAGATACCACTTGTGACCTGGTAGTATTTCCCTTTTCTCGACGAGGTCGCCCATAGTCTTGGCCTCCTGACCTTGCCAATAATAGCTTCGGACAAATGCAAAGGGTCCAAAGTTCTGGGATCTCCTTTCAACCAGGCAAATGCAATAGTTTCAACATTTCCCTGGAAGCTAGTTCATCCCTGAAGCCACTGAAGGAGTGTGTGTGTGTGTGTGTGTGTGTGTGTGTGTGAGTGTGTTGGACTGTTTTCTTAATTGTCTACTTAGAAGCAGAGAAAGTGTGTTGGAAAATTGCTTTCTGATTCAAGAATCAACTGATTCACAGCTTCTCCTTGCCACTGTGAGGAAGAATTTTGAGGGAGGGTTGGGACTAGAACTGCTTCCTGGGCTTCTCAGCGTTTTCTGGACTTTGTCAGAGAAGTGACATGCTGGGTTGCAACAGAGCATGTTCCACAGTTCCTAGAAGTATCAGCTGGCGAATGTTGGCAGTCCCAGGGCCCAGAGGATTTGTGGGCAGCCAAGAACCCAGGAACCCTGAGTGAAGGGGTCAGCATGAGGGAGCTGAGAAGTCCCGCATTTTCAGAATGAGGACATTGAGAAGGTGTCAAAGAAGCCAAACTTAGACTTAAAGTTAGACAACTTTTAAAAAGGGTTCCTGGGACCCTATATCTAGTGGCTGCATCATGTGGTCTGGCCACCAGAGAGTGAACAGGAAGGGTGGGATGAGAATTCCAACATTGTTTTCTGGCTTTATTTTTATACTAAAGTGGTTCACTATCAGGTAATCACTGCAGGCCAAAAGGAAGACACTGGGGTTAGTGGGGAAGCCAGCGTCATATTATTTCTGGTGCAAGCCAAGCTGACCCCGATATGCTGTTGTTCTAGAGTACATTTGGCCTCGGGTGTTTAGGGCATCTTCATTTATTTACCCTTCATTGTGGGAGTCAGTTTAGCTAAGCCAAAAACATAGCCAGTGGCAACCCCAAATATTTTAAAATGGATTCTTCCATGCACACTTTTTCCTTTTCCTCCCTTTGCTGACTGTGGAGTTGAGGAAGAGCAAGGGAAAGAGGAAGTGAGTAAGAAATCACATCACAACCTACAACGATGCTGTTCGTGAGAAGTTTGCTCAGGGTAGACCCACTCACTGTTGAAATACAAGCGTCAGTGAGGATGAATAATGTCAGATTTCAAATTTAGCTTTCAATTATGCTAAAACAATACCTACCCTCTCCAATCACCAAAGACATGCAGTTTAAACTAATGTAAAACGCACGTATTTTTGTCCACAAGGAAGCACGCATTTGTTGGCTTGTTAAGTGAATTGCTTCTTCCAGCTGAGAGAAGCACAGTGCAGTAAAAGAAAATGAGTAGAGAGCTTGAAACAGAACACATTGCTATGTGGCTTGGTGTTCATGGAAGTGTTTTGTTGGCGCAATGAAAATATATATAAACACTAACACTGCTGACTGTTCTCTCTACTCCCATCAAATGTTCCTGGCTATGGCTCTGACTGTGGGATGAAGCATGTCCCAGAAGGTTGAATTGGGAAATACTAGTGTTCAGCTGTAGATTGACTTGACATGGTAGTGCTGCCTCAGAAAATAAAATTTGAAGTGTAGCTCCAGGGTTAGCTGGAGGGTATAGCTTAGTGGTAGAGCACTTGCCTAACATGTCCATGGCCTCAGATTCAATCCTCAGCATTGGAGGGGAAGGGAGTGTGACTCTAGAAAAACTAGTGCTTAGAAGTACTCAACACTTTTATCTATATCTTGACATATGCCTCCTTAAATTGGGATAATTTTCAGGTTTCGACTTTAAGGAAATTCATTTATGTTTTAAATCTTCCCCTCTAGGGTATCTTTAAATGATTAAAAAAGACCCCTCTACCCCCTTCCCCCAGTAAGATTTTATTTTTCTAGAGTCTTTCTTTTGTCTATGCTGAGATCTCCACTTTTTTTTTTTTTTTTTGATATGGACACCTGACAGATGATGATGTTGCCATGGAGACAATGCTTTGGATGACAATAGCTAGCTCTAAAGTGAAATAGGACCTAGGGAATGTGTGTTATAAATGGTGTGCTTTCCTGAATAACCAGTTTATAAGTACAGATAGGGGGTTTGACACAGCACATACCCACCAGGAATATCCAATGTCATAAGGGTATTTATTAAATAAATCTCAGAATGGCGAATGACTTTACCCTTCCATTATAGAAAAGTCCACAAACTTATTCAAGCATAACAAAAATGAGTTCTTATCTGTAAAAATGTCTCCATTACTTCTCTGCTTCTTTGGCAATCACTCCTCATTCCCAACATCGTAATTCAATGATAAGCAATTAGGGAGGATAAGAGTGACTGAGGTCATTATTTGGGAGCATCAAAGTTCCAATCCTGCCTTCCAATCATCATGATTCAATTCCTTCCACACAAATGAATCTTATGCATCAGTGTCTCCTAGAAAGTTGTACGACAGCAATCACTGTTGGGGCTGAATACAAGGTTATACAGTAGATAGACAAGTTGACCAAGCTAAGCGAAGAGCAAAGCATTCAGAATTTCAGCCTTTCAGCCCAGAAGTATCTTCTGTAGCACCTTGAGATTTGTGAAATTTCAGGTCACAGTGACTCGGCAAGCACTCACATTTAAAATCTCACTAGATTTCCCAGTACTCACAGAATTAATTTTTGAGTCAATAATGAGACAAGATATATCAATATATAACCCCTATTCATTTTGGAACATTAGAGAGCCTTTTGTAGACTCTATCCTTGCTTCCAGACCCAGGCATGAGATGTTGCTTCTTTGCATTCTTAGGAAGTTAAAAGACACTTTGAAATAGCATAACAACCCAGAATTTGGACTCTGAGCTGATTTCAGTTCTTTGTTTATACTCGTGTCCCCTCTGATGAGACTTGTTTTCACCAAACTTATTTTGGTGGAAACTACTATGATGTGGATCAAATAAAACAATTCACATTTAAACATTCTGTGAACTGTAAATTGCGGGGGCTATAACAGCAACAAAGTGATGATAAAGATTTCTTTGTTGGCAGAGAGAGTAGCTGAGAAGGGGCCTCTTTCAATTTTAGGGGGCTGAAGATCTTTCAAATATTATTTCTGTAATATTTGCCTTAAATATTTCTAATGCCACTCTGTGGTGCAACCACAAAGAACTTTCCTTTGGGTATTTGAAATGAAAAACACCAAAGTTTTGTTTGATATTAGAAATTTCAAAGTGTAATAAAGCCCAGTTTCAGAAACATGGGGAAAACCACCTGAAGAAAGTCAAATAATGTAAGTATAGTTAAGAAATGGACAAAAATGTTAAGAATGCAGAATTTGAATTCTATACCATCTTCTGATCCTATATAGCACACATGTTTTTAGTGCTTTGGTTTCCATACCAGCGGTGTTCACTTATTTATATGGTAAGTACACATCCCTGGAGCCACCATGACACTTCCACTGGCTATTTCACACATTAAAGAGGAACTTATGCATTATGTTGCTGGCCAGTGTTAGTCAGAACTTGTTTTCAACTTGTTTTTCATTACACTCTTAAACTACAATTTCCAGTGACATTTCCTAGATTCAATCTCACCTCAAGTTCTGAGAGAAAGTTTAAATAAAAAATTCGTTCGGTACGTTTGTATTACAGACAAGGAGAAAGCAATAGTTTTTTTAATCACACAAAGAAACACATCAAGACTTATTCTCAGCAGCAATTCACAACTGGCTGAGAAAAATGTTTCCACTTCATCTTTCACTTGGGAACAGAAGTCAGTACTCACATAATTGGTTATAGAATTTTAGATGTGGAAGCGTCCTTAGATTTAATCTAGCCCGCCCCATTCATTTTATAGTTGAGAAAATTAAAGGCAGGATGGTAGGCGAGTTGGCTGGGTCACTCAGCTAGTTAGTAGAAGAGCTGGGATTAAACCCAGGGTTTCTAGGGATGTGATACTGAATTCTGCCCAGCTCACTGTCCATGATGAACACAGAGCAAAATCCCTGTCGTGTATAAATTAACTCCTAATCATGAACTATTACTCATTCTGCATTTAAAAAGCAGCAGCACAAATACTCTATAATAGCTGTTTCTATTCATTCATTCTCCTTGGTTAAATTTGTGGCATTGTGGCTGGTTTCTCTTTTTGTTTTTACAGGGCACTTAATGGGGAAAAAGAGCACAGGAGAGTCCCGCCATGTGCTGGAAGGAGATGGCCTGAAGGAGCTACTAAGGGACGACATTCAGTGGGAAGAAGCTACAAGGAATTTGCTGGGCCTCATAGAAGCAAAGGGCAACAGCAGTCATCGGTCGCCTCAGCTCAAGCCCTTAAGCACCCACCAGCCCACTTTGGACACAGAGGATAGCAGCAACTTGAAAGATGTAGGTTCAGCTGGCAAAAGTGACATCAAACATACTTGGGAAGTGGGGTGGGAGATATTTAGGAAGCATTGGAAAGAGAAGAAGTTTGATTAGGAAAATATAAAACTGCTTGTGTGATATGATTTCATAGCCACCATGTAGGCCAACACCAATGCATAGTGGGTGAACTTTAGACAATTTTCATGCTGTATCTTCTTACTGACAGAATGGGGGACTGTGACTGCCCCTCTTAATACATAAAAAGGTTGCTGCTTCCAAATTCCAGGGTAGGAGTTCTATTAGCATTTGTGTTTATTTGAAGCTATACATTGTGAGCCTTATCAGAATGTTTTGATAGTGCTGCTGTGAACTATGTTTGAGTAAATCCCTCTCAGTCTACAGATGTAGTTAGTTTTGATAAACATCAGGGGAAGGAAGAGCCTATCAGAGATATTTTTAGAAGAGAGTATTCTTGTTTATATGCAAGAAGTATTTCTTCCTGCTTGTCCCATGATCACCTGGCTCAGATTTATTTCTAATATTTCAGAGTTTGGTGAATACATCTGGGGTCAACTGGTTTTTCCCTAAATATAATTTTACAGAAGATAGGAAAAGGTTTTAATAATGAATACTAGATATAAATTAAGTAAAACAAAGGAAAGAACACATTTTTATAAACAAGACAACTGAAAAGGAGGTAATTAGATGTTTAAAGAAATTTCTGTGAAATATATAATAAAATGTAAATAATAATTGCTATACTTATTACCAGTAATTACCAGTTTTATAATATTTCATATAATCCAAGTAAATAGTTTTTCTCTCTCTCCTTCCCTCCCTCTTTGTCTTTGTCTCAGTCTCTTTCTGTAACCAACGCTCACTGCAGCGTTAGTAGGAACATTTTATACTCTCTCATTCTGGGGATTGAATCCAGGGCCTCCCAACATGCTAAGCACATGCTTTGTAACTGAGCTATAGCCCATTTTAGAGATAAGGAAACTGAAACGTGTCACAGAATGTTTCTTTGGTGAAATCAGGGCAAAAACCTGCGCTCAACCTGTCTCAGACAGTCTGTGCCTGCAGGGTCTCCAGAGGATGGTCCTCACCGATCTTACATATGCAGAATATCTGTATCTAGCCCAAGCAGGCCTTCTTTCTCTCTGTTTCTGGCCATAAATAATACTACTTGTCATTCACAAAGCTTGGAGATCCCCCTGGCTCATTCCTCATGGTGGCTAGCTCTTTGATTAATGACGCTTTGCAGAGCCTTAGAGCTGGCTTTGCCAAGTCTCAGCCAGCTTCTCTGGAGGAAGGCTGTTTCACTGCTCTGTCTCCCGACGATTCTCTATGCCAAATGCAAACTAAAAGCTAAATTGTGGCATGAGACATCTGCAGAGAGAGCCTTCAGTAGGCTTTATTCAGGAAGAAAATCTGGATTAAAGCAACCACTACAAAAATAAGTAGCGAACACTACAAAAATAAGTACCAGCTTTATAGAAAGCCCCACGTGGGTCTCTCATCACACCTGTGTACGGGTGTTAGCTCCATATGCTTGTTGATGGATCACAAGCTCTGTGGACTCTGTGTACTTGTGATTGATTTCTCATGCCCTGTTCAACCTTTTTCTTGGAAAACTGCATTGCTGGACTTCCTGTAGGTGGATGTCTAACTAGAGTGCCTTTCTCATTTGTTGGAAAAATTACCACTACAAAACCCTCAAACATAACTTTTACAAATATTGGATTAGGCTTGCTCTTCTAGCTCATTCATAAAATACTACCACCCAACATGCACAATTGTGTTATTCATCTATAGCATTTGATTTTTGGAAACAAACCGTAGTGTCCAGTTTGAGTTGCTCTGATTCCTAAACTTGGTTCTGCCAGTCCTGGGAATCCTTTGAAACATTCAAGTCCTTCCTTGAGTATCAAAAACCTTCCATATGAGGAAGAATATTCAGCACTTCAAAGATAATGATGAAAGACTATCCCACAAGGTCTCTGAGGGGTAGTATTATAGGATGGGTTGAGTGGGCAGCAGTGGAGAATGACTACTCAAAAAGTGACAATATTTCTCCCAGTGTGAGATGACTTTTTAAAACTCTGGTTTTGCTTTCTAGTCTATCTTTTTATGTGTTTCTCTCTCTCTCTCTCTCTTTCTTTCTTGCTGTCTCTCCCTCTTTCCCTAAGTTTAGAAAGCCTATCCCATTTTATTCTACCTCAAGTTGAGCAATTAGCACACATATTGACCCTATTATTTTGGACATGTCTCCTAGTAACATAAAAAACAAATTTGATAGCTCACTTTTATTTATTTTTGTACTGGGGATGGAGCTCATGACTGCACGCTTGCAAGGCAGGCACTTATGCTGCTGAGCTAATTCCCCAATTGATGGCTCACTCTTTGCAGAGACCAAGATAGTAATTTATGACTCCTCTTGCTTAGAAGATTCTGTCTCAATGAAAGTATGTGGTTATGAGAATTGGAAACATAATTCTTAGTCAGAAAGGAGGAGTGCCTAAAGAAAAGTTCTATTAGAAATCCATAAATCTTCCAGAGTTAGGGAGAAGTTTAATAACTTAGCTGAATATTGCCAGGATTAGCAGCAGGAGCCTTTTAGAGGCTGAAGGACTTGTCTTAAAAATTAAAAACTATGCAGATAAGCTGTCCTTTCCCATTATAGTAATAAAACACCAAATCCTGTTGCCAACTCTCCCTGTAGTTAGAAACGTTGAGCATTTTCTGTGTTTTGTTGACAACAATGCTTAATTAAGGCATTTGTATGGGAATGCGCATTGGATCTGGACTACTCAAACATGACGTATGGTCTCCAGGACTTTATGAGCAAGAAAGACCCATAAGTTTCAAGGTTAATCTTAGGTGTCCTTTCCCTTGTGCCTTTCTCACAAAGCCTTTAATTCCATCCTGAAGTTAATGGAATTTTTGTCCTATGGTTTCTATCACATTAAAGGCTGTTCAAGTCCACTCCAGGGCCTAATTGCTAATCCTCCACATATATATAGATGGTGGTGTGATTAAATGAAGGTTTCAATTGCCGTTGGGATCATCCCATAGTTTGAGCCCCGTTGCTTGGTCCTTGAAGCCTTAGGTTTTTACTTTTATTTAGTGGACAGGAGGAAAGTGCACGGGGTTGGGGAATGGACACCAGAGGCTTCTCCGGAAAGGAAGTAGATGTTTAAACTTGCCCTTGATTTGAAGGGAGCCCTCTTCGTATCAAAGCACAGCAATCATTGTGAGATACAGCAAAGTTTTGCTTCTTAATATTTGAAATGCTCCAGAAGTAGTTCCACATATAGAAAAAACAACATACACTACAGAGTAAATAATAACCCTCCGGATTCCTCAAGTGGTTTCTGCGCAGGAAGAGTGAAATGCCACCTCCAACACAGCTCCTCCCGCCTCCAACCATCTCCGCCTCCAGGATCTTGATCTTCAAGATCTTTCTTACTTTCGATTTGCTTCCATTCTCTTGAGCCAAACTCCTCGATTCAATTTTTAGGACTGGGCCGGGGAGCGCCTTTATGGATTTTCCCTACACCTTTGCTTGATGAGTTTTTCCTTTTTGACCGGAGGCTGCTATGGCAGGGCGGATGGTGGCATCTCCGACAGGATGCACACCATTAGTGGTGCAGACTGGGTTGACTGAGGAAAGCCAAGTTAATTGGTAAGGTTGGGAATTGAGCTTCAGCCCTGGGCTCATTAGCATCTGCGCAAAAAAAGTTGAACCACAAAGCAGGTAACCATTTGCCTAAGAATAGCAGTAGTTCCTTTATTAGGAGAAATAAATAGCCAGTCTGGAAGCTGGGGAATCTGAATTGCCAGAGAATCTTGGGAAGAGTAATAAACTCTAGTGTGGGTAAAAGTTAATAAGCTCTGTTTTTTATCTCACCGGGGAAATATTGCTATAGGGGAAAAAGAAGTGTTTTTTGTTGTTGTTTTTCAAGTTACAGCTACTCTTCCTTCATTCTTAGTTAAATCAAGCAGAAGCCACAACAAGCGAACCACAACACATTTAGAATTTTGGCAGAAATCCAAATTAACACCTCTTCTCAAGATAAATGTCCCACGCTACTACCATTTACAGTCTATGTTTGCAGTGTGTAATTTGGAAACTAGGTCTGATTGCTGTGACAGAGCATTGCCAAAGTAAGCCAGGAGAGAATTAAACTCCACCTCCCCTGCTCAGCTACTACTCTAGGAATAAATTCCTGGGGATAACACTTGTAACTTCCAACAAGTGGAAGTTGTAATTGGGTTAGGGGCAAGTTAAGTAGATAAGACAAAAAGACCTCTAAAATTATGCAGCTGCTTTTAAAAGTGGGCATTAATGTCATTGTTTGTCAGACACTGAGTGCTCAGGTGCATTGGGGTTGTGAAGGCTGATTGAATGCCAGGCTCCTCCTCTAAGTTAGTCAGACTGAGGGTGACTTGAGAATTTGCCTAGTCAACTCCCCAGTGATGCTGATGATCTGGTGAGAATGGGTTACACTTCCATGTCACTAACGCATTTACTTAACTCTTCCTAATTTTTTTTTAAGTTGGTAGACTATCTGCTCCAGGGTCTTAAGGCGAAGGAAGGAGCCCTCAGCTAAACAATCAGTGGCAACCACGGCCTCAAAGGAGCAGAACAAAATCCTTAAGAGACTGCATTCTGCAAGCATCAATTCTACTGGATCACCAAGATCTCCTTTGTGCAAAACACTTTGCTATTCTTGTATCTTTCAACCTTGACTAAATTCGTGATCATCAAGCAGTATCATCTGGCTTGAACTTGTTTGCTGTGAACAATTGTCCAAAACAGAACTTTCCAATGATTGCTTCACACATATAGGCTACTTGTTAGATTCAGGGCTCCAGTCTGTTACCATTCACAATAAAGCTTCAACACGGTGTCCAAAGGGCAGACTGTTCTTTTATTTCAAGTCCAAATGAGGGCGGAGTAGCAAATAGTAACGGTCCTTGTGTGGTCATGAATTAAGTCATGCTAAATTGATAGCACTGCCCTCTGAAGGGCACTTACTGAGTCCCATAGTGTCTGATGGCCCTTCCAGAAGCTCACATCTTTTATTATTCCATTAGAGGCTAGATTGGAGACAGAAACTAGCCCTTTTCATCACTGGCCTTTTCTTCAGTCCTTACCGTAACCAGATATGTTGCTGATGTTATTGATATATCTTTTTTTTTTTTACTTTTATTTTGAAGGTAGTAAAATGCAACAGAACAAAGCCAATCGAGACAATGCAGTGAATCAGTACAGAACTTCACAGCAGGATACCGGGATAACAGTAATAGGTACCATAGGATATCTCGTTATCTTCACAATAGTTGTCCATTCAATCAGGTACAGCAAAATCAAATAAAAAACAGAACACTATAAAACCTATCAAAGCAGGATATTGAATAAAGCAAAACAATCAGAACAAAGCAAAACAGTAACAACAATATTTGCCTTCAAAGAGAAGACAGAATGAAATCCCACATATTAGCTATATTGCATATGGTCATCCTCCCAAGAGATGCTCAGATCTCTGGCTCCCAGTTGCTACAGGGGAGAGGGTTGCGGGGGAGGGATGGGATGTTGATTATCAGCTTGCATGGAGGTAGGCTCGAGGGTGATGCTGACTGGTTCTCTTCCTGGCTCACCTGCAGCTCACTTGCCCCACGGCTGGCCGCTTACCAGGAAGGGAGGTGTGTTCTTTCTTGCTCAGTGCCCTAACTTCCAACATGACTGCATCTGGAGAGACACTGACTGGTTCTCTTCTTGGCTTGCCTGCCACTCAGTTGTGCTTGATATATCTTTTTAACAGTCATATAAACCAAGAATAATCATCTGCATGTAATAAATGAGGAAACAGGATTAGAGAAATCAGGTGACTTGCTACATAGTAAATAGAACGAGATCCAAACATCCACAGTCACCAAGATTTTTTGTGTTGCATCATTTTGAATCCCTTTCTAGTTGGTTGTGGTGGTGCATGCCTATAATTCCTGCACCCTAGGAGGCTGAGGTAGAAGTATTGCACGTTTGAACCTAGCAACATATTAATTTAGCAAGACACTATGTCAAAATAAAAATGGCCAGAGGTACAGCTCAATGAGGAGACCCTGTGTCTGATCCCTACTCAAGCCAAACCAAACCAAACCAAACCAAAACAAACCTTTTTTTCAGCATATTTAGCAAATAGCACTGTTTCAAAATTTCATTGCCAGTCTGGGAGGAAACATTGTTTCCCATGGCAGTTTTAGCCAGCTCAGTGGCAAAAGCATAAGAGGAATTCAAAGAATTTCTTCCATTTTCAAGGAATATGGCCTGGCAGTTTGTCAACACTCACCAGCTCCATTTTCTCACGACATTTGCACATTAACAGATTTTGAAGAGCTTTTGCCATATGTTTAGATTTTCTTCATTTAGGAAAGCCACATTTGCAACCTCAAAGAGATTTATCTTGCTCTTGTTTTGATTGCCAAGGAACCACAGAAGAGATGTTGTGCTCTTTCTAATTTCTTTTGAAACCATCTTGATTCAAAACTTATACAAAGTGAGACTTGGGGAAGCATGCAAAATGTCTTCAGTGTTATTATAGCCTCCCCTTCAGGGACTCACTCAGGCTTTTCCCCAGGATCGTGATCATGGGTTGGGGCAACTAAATCCCCATGAAGCTGATGATGGAGGGTGAGGCTTTAGAAAGGATTCGTCTTCTGCTAGGATATCCATAAAGATGAAAACTCTTCCACACTAGGGTGAGCGTTCTCTAACGATGGCATCACAAGCAGGAAGTACACACTTCTTAGATGTGAGGCAGTGCCGCTAGGATTACCCCGTGTAGACTGTCACTTCTTTGGTTGTTCCACAAGAGTAGACATACATGATCTTGTGGTTTGGTGGAAAGCATTTTTCCTCAGAGTTTAGGCGGAAAGGTAAGAACAGCTTACTGGGGCTTCTCACCTTGCAGAGTTTCTCCCTGCTAAACCCAGTCAGGATGAGCATTCCATTAACTGAGATGTGCTCTTTTTTACCACGAGAGCTTTCTTGAGCTTGTCTGCCAGTGGTGTTATATCACATACACACCCATATGTACCTACTGGGCCCCATAACTTTTAGCTGAAGATAACAGCATTCACCTTTGATAGTTTAAATAGAAAAAGAAGAATTTATGAAAGGATATGAAACAGGGAAGAGCAGAGAAAGGAGCTCAGGCTTGAGCTAGACTTGTAGGTTCAGGACTCACAGGCTGCCCATGGCTAATTTACAAGTCCCTTGCCCTTACCTCACCACGACCTTCCCCATCTGGGGCACCACAGGCGTGTCCTGAAAGTCTCTCCCACTGTGACTAACTCCCAAATCAATCTTCAAATCTTTTCCTAGTATATGTTTGCAGCACATAATAATTACATTTGCTTCTGGGAATTGGTGCACATCCATATTGCATCTTGATCATTTTTACTCCCCATGCTCTTGTCCCTCTTCTCCAGGTCCCCTTTTCATGCCCAAAACTCTATCTCCATTTTCTGACATCTCTCCTTTATTTTGATCTTTACATCATTTATATTTTGGGCTTCTCATATAAAAGAGACCATGCAATATTTAACTTCCAGTGTATGACTGTAAGTTAGTCTTCAATAAGTATGCTTTTATTAGTGGGACCTCGATCACCTGGCCCTCTCTAGCTGCAAGGGAAGCTGGAAATGTAGTTTTTAGGATTCTGCAGTGGGAACATGAGACTAAACTTGTGGGACCCTATCAAAAACAGAGAGAGTGGCCAGGGATATAGCTTAGCAGCACAGCACCTGCCTGGCAAGAGCAAGATTGTGAGTTCAATTCCTGGTACAAAAACAAAACAAAACAAGAGAGAGTACGCAAAAGATATGAAGATATGATCAACTGGAAATAAAAGCTGTCCTTCCTCTTTTTGTGAAAAAAAAAAAAAGGTTTTCCCCTTTGATTTCTTTCCATGTTTCTAAAGAGAACAGTTAACATCCAACCTGGGATTCTAGGAGAGCAAGGTCTTCTGTCTGCTGTTCATGGCACACACGCCAAGTGTGAGCACAAAGCAAAAAGATGTTTCTAAGAGGTGACAATGTTTAGAAATCCTTGCAGCAAAGCAGGATAATCAAGAGGAAGAATCTAAAAGAGAAGAAAGCAATAACAGCCTTCAAATTTGGTCTTTTAAAAAGTCTTTTTTTTTAAGTGCTGCAGGGTGGATTGCTGTGGGTAATTTGGCAATCTCTGCTTATGATCAGAGATTCGGAAACACACTAAACAAGCATTTCAAATAGTTCAGTGCAATTTCTGTCTTCAAAAATGTGCATCTTTCAGTGCTTGATGGGGGTATTTGATCACCACAGAGCATTTAAACCCAGCTTGAATGTATGGGGAATAATCTAAGCAGCAATGTAGGAACTGCATTATTCACTTCCTTGGCCGTGGGCTGCTTTAATGGGACAATATGAAATAATTGAGGGAGATTCACAACAGTGAACTCTTGCCATTTTCACAGTAGAGTGATCACACAGACTGAAAATGCTCCATATCGCCCAATTAATCACCTTAGATGAGACTCACGTAAACCACACAGCCTCTCTTCATTTCCCCTCCCTTTACATCTGTTCCACATGCATTAAATGATGCTTGGCCAGATAGGTAGATCATTACCACAGGTAGCTTGAATGGCTGCCTGCTTGAAGGATGTGTCCCTAAGGATGTGTCACAGCTGAAAGGAACTCTGTAGTCTCCAGGAGAATGAGCAGTTCAGACTCCCACCCTCAACAGTGTGATCACACTCCACCCTTTTCTAGAGGGCTATCATTCTTCAGTTCATTCTGGAATAGATGTCCATGTATTAAAAGCATACTTTGCACATGATGAAATATGATTACTCATATTTTTAAAACTTCTGTTGCAATCCCTATTTAACTCTGAGTTTTTAGTGTCCATTTTAAATGTAAAACATGTCCTCTTGGATGTTAATTACTTTTGCTTATTAGTTCCAAGTAAGGAATTTCTCTTATTGTCTTAAAATGATAATTGACAACCCAGAACCCTTTCCTTTGGAAGCACATGGGAATTTGTCAATTGCATCTATATTAATGAGCAATTATATTTAAATACATGTGATGAAACCAAGCCAAACCAATATATCCATGGTTTAAAGAAGAGAAAGTTGAATTATCTCTCATATCAAAAAAGTATAAAGTCTAATAGCTAAGTGATCCACAAATCAGACCTAAGAGTTTTGTGATTTTCTTCAATTTTCCTTCATCACCAATCACAAGGTAGCTGCCATAGCCCCAGCCAACCTTTCTTTTCTATTGTTATCAGATTCTATAGTTAACAGATGATGGACAAGTGATTTCACATGCTCTCTAGCTGAAAAAAAGACTACTTTTGTAGACTTTCAGGAATGAATGTTGGATTAGTTAGTATTCTTATGGTCATTAATAGTAGAAAAGTCTCATCTCCAAATTGGCATTAAAGACAGAAAAATTTTTCTCACATTAAAAAAAATAGTGAAAAAGGAGTGTATGTGTGTGTGCACACGTGTGCAAACATGATCTGTGTAGGTGGGGGGACTTAGGGACTCAGGGTCCTGTAGCTCAGCTTAATTCAGTCACTTAAATGTTACTTCAGGGCTGAGGGTCCTTTTGTCCTATCTCTCTGCCAGCAGCATCTCAAAGTTATCTTTAAGCGAAATTCTTTCATGGTCATAAGCTGACTGCTGGAATTTCAGATGTCACATCCAGATGCAACATTCAGAGGAAGAAGGGCTTTACCTTCTTATGAGAGCTGAGAGTCTTTTCCCAGAGTATCTAAATTCCTCACACTCAGAGACCGGCTTGCTTACACCTTTGCTCAATCCCACCACCGATGAAGGGGACCAGACCACTACGACTGGACTGG